CCTAGGTTAAGATTAGTGAGGCTTTCCATGCGAATGACTCGACTCTCGCTAATCCCAAGTATATATCCTACAAATCCGAGAGTGTCAAACTGATGTAAAGTCGAATATGAAACTTTTTCAGTGTTTTACTAAATATGTATGCTTGTGAAAGAAACATGGAAAGATAGCTTTTGTTGAAGATGATGGCATAATGTTAAACAAATTTTGTATGTAAAATAATTATTTAGCACTTACTTGTTCGGAAACAGCGCTCTTTGAAACTGATGATTTGGTTATGGGATAAAGCTTTAGGATACACCTGCATACAAGATATACTTCCCTTGAAGTACCGATTATCGCCCAGCCTTGCACCCATTCTGACATTGTGATTGGTAGCTARTTGAAACCCTTTTCCAATATATTTTTCGACAACAAATCTATCACTGATAAACAGCTTTGCTATTCCTGTTTGGGCATTGTACGTCGCTCCAACGTATTGCCATACACCGGCTTTTACTCCATTGTTGGAAATGCTAGAAACTTTAACATTTCCACGTTTATTAAATTGAGCGAACAACTTATTTTTTCCTGTCATCCAGAAATGAACTCCCCAGCCATTTGTGTCGTAGTTAAAGATAGGYCCTTGATTTCCAGTGTGTTTTATCCAAGCTAGAAGCGACAAAGAGTTTTTGGCTTCCAGCCGCTCTTCGTCGTTATCAAACTCTACATAACTTTCCGGGGTTCCAATGAATCGGTATGCACCACCGGGMGTTCCATCGGGGCCTTCGTCCGGAAATATATTTGCAAATTCACCATCTGGGTTTCGATTTAGGACATCTTTTCCTTGCAGAAGAGTATTTAGTGGATATAYTGCAAGAGCGYCATCTAAATAATTKWGTTTTATTAATTAAGATGCGTATGCACAATAATTATACTGGTATTAATGTGACAATTGCTGACAGGATCCATAATAAATTGACAGTATTCTTTGCCTCTAGCTTAGTTAAAAAAATACAAGTATAGTACAAATGAAAATGATAAATATTTTACTAGTAAAAACGTTATTCTTTTAAACTAAGCCAGAGGCAAAAAATACTTTCAATTTTTTACTAGTATTCTTTGCTAGTATTCACGCCATAGTGRAAATTGCCAACACTAATCCTTGTCAAAAAAGAGCCGTTTCGATACATGTAAAATTGTATTGTTATCGTAAATGTGATATTTTTCAAATCTCTGTCGATCACATCTWAATGGTTTCGACAAGATCAATGTTAGGTGTTAGCCAAAAACTTATGAGATAGGATGTCTGGATTTGGGTGTTTCAGCTTTGATTAGAGCGGATTTCGTATGACTGTGCAACGGCACGGATCACCACACGGACACGGACACGGCACGGTCACGGAACCTCGCCTTCTAGGATTCCAAAAAAATAAGATTTTTAAAACAATACATCACCGCTACGGCACGGTACGATGACAGTAAGAAAGTACTGTGGTTTTTTTTGCACAGTCATACGAAATCCGCTMTATGCTCTCCACATTGACATGGGTGCGGACAAAATGATTATTTAACTCGAAATCTTGTCAACGATCCGTCAATAAAAATTGYATTTAAATGAGTGAGAATTGCTGAGTTCTGTTGGAAAATGGAAATAGTACATATGTTATGGCTACTTTTTGTTGCTGTTCTTGTGTTTTTATCAATGCAGAGCGATTAAACAAGCTAGCAAATGTGCCTGCAGTAAAATAACACGTCAAATAAATAATAAAACTCATTATTGATGAACCCTTCCCATACCTTTTAATATTCTTGTTCTGATTCTCTGTGTACAAGGCTGTGAGGAAAAATTACCGCTCAAAGGATAAAAATTAGTTGGATTCCTCACCAAAACCTATGAGTTGAAAGATATTTCAATGACAAACAATAACAGCAATAATGTATTAATGGAAAGTCAATGATCATTTAACTCTCTAAATGWGTTAAAAGAATTTTTGATATTATGAATAATTAATATCATGATAAATGACAGATCAAAATTGCCATYACTATTATGCAAAGGTTTTTTTCTTGTTTTTTATTTGTACTGAAATATATCGTAAATGTGATTGACTATATCTAAGTGAATTTGTGAAGAGGGTGAAGAGAGAGCTGGCTTTGCAGTCTGGAGCAAGGGTTTTAGAATAGTGCTTTAAATTAACTTGTGTTACCTCAATATAGGCTGCTTTTGAAAGTGGCACCTCTGCAAAATTGGTTCCAGGTGTCGAGAAAAAAATAAAACTWGTGAGGTTTTGTGCAGACAGTATCTTGACAATCAATATCTGGTCAGTTGATTTGGAAGTGAAGAATAATTGAAAGCATTTCCATGTATAAGCATCTTGATTAAGAATTTCTGACTGATAAGTTAAATATAATAGTGTAAATCCTGTAGATAATAGAAACATTAAATAAATTAGTAATGATAGACTATAAGTAGTAGCTGAATAAAGTCACAGTTTTTGCTTTAATAGTTTTGAGAATTATAATTCTATCAAACCCAACGAAAACGTGAAAAGTTTGCTTCATGACTCAACCTAAAGTGCGTATTTTTTAAATCAAATGCTATTTGTCGTGATCAATGATATCAACAGTTTTGACATTTAAAACTACTTACTTCTTCTACATAACAACTGATCTTTTCTGCAGTTTGGAGGAGGTCCTAAAATGMAATGCAATTTTTAAAGAGGGRACAGAATAGGATCATAGTTTTTCTAACTAAAAAGGCTCATGATAAAGCTTTAACAAACGYGAYTTTAGATACCGACCGCTAACATGATTTCCAATGCTAACATTGTCCATTTGAATTAAGATCAATAAACCTCTCCAACATGGAATTCTTTGTATCGGCATTTCAGACCCATTGGCCGAATATCATTCTTTGTTTGCAAATTAACACGTGAAATYATGTAAGCTAGCACATTAGAACATAAAAGAGAACAAAACCAGCCAAGGTTGACGAGATCCATTTTAACTTTTTTCACCATGCATACCTCGAGAAGAGACTGTCTTACAGACTCCGTCATGCAGTGTGACGTCATCAAYGGCAATATCACCTTCTATCCATCCTCGTCGTGTCTCTCCTTCAATAACAAACTACAAAAAGAGAGAGAACTATCTAGGTACATTTACCATCTTGATTATAATAATTAAAAGTTCAACACAATCTTGATTTAAATATCTGTCATTTTTTATGACAAATCGTCCAATTAACTGTCCAGATACCTGATAATTCTGTCCATCATTTCCTYCAAGMGTTGTCTGGCCAAATCTCCAAAGGTCTCCCTTATTCCCACTCTGCTCCCAGATTATGTTTTCAGAACTAGTCGTTTTTCTTAAAATCCTAAGCGAACCGATTCCAATGCCATACATGTGATACCAGAACTGCAAACACTGAGTTCTATTTGCATTGAACCAGCAGCTTGTCAGTCTTGCTTTTTCATCACCTAACTTTTTTTCTGACGCTTCAATGAAGATGTAAGATCCTAAAAAATACTATAAAAATTAGCCAATAGCGGCGCTCCATAAGAAGATAATGTTTATCAGAATTTACTAGACTATTTGCTGTATTGCAAGGACGACATCAGCTTTTTCTTGTTTTCAAATAATATTGAAGTAGAAAGTGATGCAAWTTTCATTTTTTCGAGTCATACGTCATAAAAATCAAATTCCCGGATGATGTGCAAACGCGTCGTAGTTTAACGAAAATTGGCGAGAATCTCCAATTCACGTGTTTTTATTAATATAAGTTGCTCTTCCAGGGATTATTTTATTAATTGATTCTGCTACTGTTATTGATTTTGACAATTTCTTAGCAAATATGGCGAGAATTTCATATTTCTATTGTCGCGTGGTTTATGTTTTTTTTCTGTGGTGGTAAACGCAAAAACGCATAAACGACACAAATGGGAACCCTGTGTTTCTCCATGAAAAATCAACTCGACGRTTTACCATTTTCTCCACGGCGGAGCTCCGCTATAAACATTCAATCTCACTAAAAAATATTGTATATACCTAATGTTTAGTGTTTGATTCTGACACTTTTTTTTAATAGGGTAGTCTTTGCAGATGCAAGTTTATGCCCTGTGATTGAATTGCCAAGTATCTGTACTATATCGCACAATTGATAAAGGCGAGGGAGGTTGTTGCAGTAGTTAAATATATATAAAAAAAAACAGAGAGGAAAAATCYACGGCATTGCACTGCCAAACAAAGATGATAAGTGTACCTTTATCTGTCAAAGTAGTATGGTCAATGCTTGGTCCAGTATTCTGCGTTGGTGTTGCGCTTTGCCCGATAAACCATTTCCGTTGAGAGCGATCATCATGTGTGAAACCACAAAAACCGTTGCCGAATGAACAGGGAACTAAAAATGAAATATAATTCAGTCTAGAGAAAGTTTTATAATTAATTATTTTTGACAATCTCATTTTTGCTATTTGACAAAATTAAATTATGTACATATTATATTTCTATTCAGGTTTTTAGATTTCAAGTTTTTTGGAATTCATTTTTTTTGCTTTTCTCTCACGCTCTATAATATTGATTTTAAGCAATATTCGTGATATACATGTATTAAGTTGAACAACAACAGCTTAGTTTGACTTCTAAAGTCGCTTCTAAAGTTCTCAATTGTACAGTGATCTCTAGAATGATACTGTAGCATTAGTAAACACCAATCTTAATTCTAACTATGATAAAAAATTCACGCTCAATTAAAAACACGATATTAAAGTGAAATTTTAAAGTGAAGTCATCTCGGTGATCTTGGTTATGTTTAAGTCCCACATGTATCCAAGAACCTTTACTATGGTTTCTTTAGTTTGGCAAATAAGTTTTTGTTTATAGGCGGTTTCCCATTAGTTCGAATTCAAAATCGACAATGGCGAATATTTGTGAGCAAAGCTTCCTGGGCCCACTCACTTAGTCCCTTAMGCAATGGCACACCTGATATTGTTGTACACGTTGTGAATTGCTTTGTAGGTGAATATTCTTGAGTATTGCATCCAAGATTCTTTAATGTGCAATTACTATGACCTTTAAACAAGTAATGTAAGAAAGAAAACATTTAGCTGATTTTGTTGAAAATGTGCTTTATTCAAGAGGGAACTAAGCATCAAAACATGATATATGTATTGAAAGCTTACCACAAATATTTGGATTGTGAGAGTTTTCGGTACAATAACTTCCTATTCTGCAAGTGTTTTTCCAATCAGTGCAGCTTCCATCAGCACATTGGAACTTCTCCTTGCATCGGTGACCTATTATGCCAAAACATTTTATTGTTTTTAACGCTAAGGATTATGATCGACAGAGGGGAAAGAGTTGTACACAATTAGTTTTTGTGCTCTCTAGTTTGYAAGGGATAGATTTTCACAATCCCTTACCGCAATTTATTTCGTCAGTTCCATCTGCGCAGTCTCGCTTTTTGTCACACACACTGGCRACATTGATGCACTCTCCACTTGGGCACAGGAAATTGACCCATGGACAATCGCAGCCTCTTTCATCAGATCCATCGATACAATGCTTGTCACCGTCACACTTCARCTTTYGATCGATACATTGTTTGTTGTCGCATTGAAACTCGTTCCTTTTGCAAAAGACTAACTCTGAAAAAATACAGAAAAYGGTTCTAATTCAAAATTCTTAGAATGGAGTGCGTTCAATTTATCAATGAAATTATTTGCTAAATTGTGAAAACAATTATTTATTGGTATATCATTTGATTGGATATTAGTGAGATTGATGTGATTGTGTTCGCATTATTCGCGCCCATACCAGGCTAAAACAAATTTCTACTGAAGAAATCTAAAATAATTATTACATGTAAGGTTCCAATACATCATCTCGCAAAAGACAATCTTGTAAAACTGTTTGTCCGTTTCATGAATCAAACAAAATTCCTAAACATTTCTCACATTTCATGTAAAATTATATGATATTTTCGCAAAATAAGCGTGAAAACCCAAATCCCTATTACGATTCGCGCAAACACGTCGATTGTTTACGCTAAGGCTATTGGGAGCTCAATTATTCAAACCATTTGATTATGAATATTGGTTAAAATCTGTGCTACCTGGCTTTGCATATATTGGATGTCTTTCACACCTATGTGTTGCTACAGTAATGTTGGTAAGACCTACGCTTGTACTTTCGCTTTTCGTGCCATGTCCCTCAAATCCAATCTACAAAAAAAAACACATGAAAATATATCCTTGCTTATCAAAGTATTGAACACAAATGAGTGTAAAGACGAAAAAACGGATAAAATTGTATAAAAAGTACTTTAAGTAATAGAAAATTGTATTTAACTCAACTGCATATAACATTGTATAATCATGGTCAGTATAGTTGTATTTAATGTAAMGTGTGWAGTGTTTTAAAAAAGATTCAAATGACATACGACTGAACCATGTGCTTTCCTCTTTCTGTCTCCTTTATACTTCTATCCCTTAATACTCTATTACATCACAAGACATTACAATATGTACCATATATAAGTAGAAAATCTGTACAAATACAAGACTGGACGAGTTTTAATCATAATTTTCTTTTTTTCTCTTTCTCTTTCTCTCAAAGTAGCAACTTTAATAAGCACAGCTCTGTATACTTAAGAAATATAAAACGACGCGCGTGTCTCTGTCCTCTTATATAAACACGGTGAGGGTTCGAAAAACACGAGAGAAGCAAGCTTAGGAACACGCGTAGCGAGTGTTTCTCTTGCTTCTCGAGTGTTTTTCAACTCCCACCGTGTTTACATCAGAGGAAAGAGACACAARCGGCCGTTTTATATATTTTCTTTTATAAAATTTTTCGAGCGAAAAGCAAATTTTGCCGGTAAGTCTAGTTGTTCATTGACCCCTGTCTGGAGCCTTGTACAGCGGATGTTCACCTTTATGGCACCTTATCCTTTTTCAGTGGAAAGTATTTTCAGTTCATTCTCGTTAATTAGAATATTTCAAACTTGTTAGAAAATTTAAAATAGTCTTTAAGGGGGGAGGTTTGATGAAATTCTATTCATCTAATTAAGTCATAAGTTAGCATTCTTGAGTGAAAGTGTTTATTTAAGGATATGTAAATTTTGGACCAGTGAGTATATATACGCCCAACGCGGCTCGTGAGGGAAAAAAAACGTTCAAGGAAGACGAAGATCATTGTGCAGAGAAAGTTAATGCTGTTTACGTGGAGCAGACCTTCAGAGTCCCCGTAAGGCGTCCGAGAAACAAGGGAGCAGACCGTCAGAGTCTCCTTGAAAGCACATTGATGAAGCTCAAGTGAGTCTGTTAGCAGTAACAAAAGAAGTATATTGTGAACTGAACTAAGAAGCATGTTGTGAACTGAGCTAAGAAGTATATTGTGAACTGAACTAAGAAGTATATTGTGAACTGAACTAAACCAAAGCGAAAGTATAGTGTGATCAGAAGTATCGTGGAACGAACTTAAAGACAGAAAAAGAGGAGGAACGTTTGAATACCAACGCACAAAACTACCAAAGAATACTCACACATTGGTCTTTATAGTTATTTAATATTATTTAGTAAAGCAAACGTCTTTATAGTTATTTAATATTATTTAGTAAAGCAAACGTCTTTATAGTTATTTAATATTTTTTTAGTAAAGCAAACGTCTTTATAGTTATTTAATATTATTTAGTAGTATACGTCTCTATAGTCATTTAATATCAAGTTCAACTGCATGTATTTTCAAGTAGTTCAACTGCATGTATTTTCAAGTAGTTCGTGGCTATAACGTATTAGATAGTTTCAAGTTATTGAGTGGTTGTAATTCATTTTGTCTGAGGGAAGGCATACGGCAGAGGTTTCATGTTTCAATATCGTGTTGACTTCCCAATCCGTCACACCGTCACACCAGCCAATCAAAGCGCGCGTTATATATCGAAAATTTTATAAATGTAGATTTTGAACACTATACAATTACTTAAAACCCATCTTCACCTTCTGTATACTAATCCCTGATAGCTCAACACGTCCTTTCTGCCAAGCGGATCCCTGATAACCTGTCAGATTCCAAAGTCTTTCTTCGCCGGCATTACTGTAACGTACAACTGAAAGTGATCCTTCAGAAGACATGCGATATGAAAACTGAATGCAAAGACTGGTATTCATTTGGTACGGTTCCCAAGGAAGATTATTACTCTTCAGTGTAGATCTGCACTTTTTGTCCACTTTTACAAACGGGAATGCTTCGTCTGTCGATAAAACAATGATCCTATCATTCAATTGCTTTTAATCTACCTATTTTAAATAGAAGTGTTTTATGCACCGTTTTTATTAGTTGACATTTCCCAACAKGTTACATTGTCTGTATTTAGCCATCTGCAGATCCCATTGGAGAATGAGCACTCATTAATGATTACAGCTAAATATAGAAAGTGATACATTGTTAGCACTTTGGGACATTTATCAAAACAATATAATGAAGTTATAATAAGTTTTTAACAAAAAATTACAAAAAATTGAAAAGACAAATATACAGGTACTAAATAGAGGTTTAAAAAACAGAAATATAATAATATAGAGCTATTTGGCAAGAAAAAGGAACAGTTTCTGAACATGTTTCACCACAGGAGGCCCTAAGGCTCTAATTCCACTGCAAATGGGGAAATCAAAAATGGGAGGCTTTGGACTCCCAGATTGCTTCCCAGCAAGTAATGAACGCTTCGAAAAGCATAATGTTTTGGTGTGTTTTGGTTCTTTTTAATGCGTTTTTTTTTTGTAATTTTTCCTAGATAATAAGATATCACGACGAATACTAGCCTAGAAAATAACCGAAGGTCATTGTTCGTGGGAGCTTCCAAAGAAGTTTTATTTCACAGTCTAGAAGCTGTTTTGAATCAGCTAAACACTCATTTTTAAATCAGTACTTAAAAGTAAAGGAGGAGCTCTTTTCGAAGTCGACGTTTTCTCCTACTATTCATCATCTTATAATTAAAATGAAGTGACTAAGATTTGCAAAATAAAACTCATTAAGAGAAGAGATGTGGCCTTTGAGTGCAGAAAAAGTCAGGAACCACGAGAATAATATTATCATTAACAGAAATATTGCCCATTTTGCGCCCGCGATAATGTTGCAGCAGTAGCTACCATTGCAAAAACAAAATGGCTAGAGWGCTTTCCCGTCTCAGCTGTTAGATCTACTTTTCTCTCCACTCTTCCACTTCATCGACTTTTCACTTCTTGCTTTCTCCAGACTAGCTTGCACAGATTCCTGCGATTAGGTTTCATTACTTATAAACGAGACCGATGAACATTTCTCAATAAGCTTTTTCCACTCCCAGAGTGTCACCAAGATATCTCAATATAAAATAGAAACTCGTATCTTTTGATTAAATTTTCAGAATTTTGACTGATATAAGTCAAAAGAAAGTCAGAATGTGTCTTATAAGCTTCCAGTCAAATATTTTCTTACGGTATTCATTGACAAATTCACGGACATTGTACTCTATTTTTGCAAACAAAATTCAAATTTTGGCGCTAAAATACTGTGCTTTAGTATTCTGAAAAGACCTGAGGACAATAAAAGCATCCCCAGAGGGCATTGGGGACCTCACAGAAGGAAAACAATGGCGGCTCGAGTAGACGTATATATAAATATTGTATTTTTCCCTCTTGGACATACCCAACACAAGATATGGCTCTCAAACGTCGTGAATCCGTTTAACTGCAATCTATTCATGCTTCGGGAACCTATTTTAAAGAATTTTTCGGAGGTTTCTGGAGCAGAATTGACGAATGTTGACGCATTAATTTGGACGTATCTATATGTGCAACCCGAGTGTTTATCAACTATTATATTATGAACTCTTTTTTTTCCACTTCAAATCACAAAGGTAAGCAGCATTTGTAGAGAATGTATGCAAACTTGGTCGCTGAGTATGTCAAAACTAAGAACGATCAGGAACCTCGAGATTAAACGCATATACTTTAATATATTATGTAAAGGATATGCGATATATCCACGAAGAGTGATCGAAGTGCGATTTGAGAAAGCCTTTCTCTTAAAATGATATTTTGACGAAAATGTGTTATCTGCCATACATTTCTTTTGGACATTTACCACAGGCAACACAAGCAAAGCTTTTGATTCAAAATGTTTTTTTTAATAAAATAATTTTACCTTAATCTCATGTGTTGCTGATGTTATTTAACATTTCTGTGTATGGTTTTGAAGGGATTTAGAGCTATTTAAAAAAACAAATATCGCCATCAGTCATAAAAGACTATACAAGGCAGGTTACAGAGCGTCCACGCCACTTGTCTTTGAAGGCCGAAAAAATATCTTAAATCCATCTTTTGCCTCCAAAATCCACTCAGTGGCATGTCTCTAGGATCCTTCTATCCAGAATTGGGCAATATTTCAACGGACTTCAAATGCAACCGTGCCAAATTGTCATGTTTGTACGATATTCTGACTCAATTTTTGAATCCGGTCAAGCATTCATCGACCGTTCCCTCTGATTGGATGACAGTTACCATGGAATCAGTTCAAGCACTCCCGACTACTACAGGGAGTGTAGGATTTTGTACAACTGTCTACATCCCCAAAGGGCCCGCCAAGAACGAGGCCGAACTTACACAGCTCAGGGAAAACTCGTTCGCGCGCTTTATCGAAGTTTTCAACCGAATCCAGTTTCGCTGCCAGGTTTATTTTCAGGAGCGATGCAAATGCAAAGCCTTTCAAGCGTTATCAAATTCCTACACTCCCCGTAGTAGTCGKGAGTACTTGAACTGATTCCATGGTAACTGTCGTCCAATCAGAGGGAGTTTGAAAAACGGTGTCCATCAAGGTCGATGAATGCTTGAGCGGATTCAAAAATTGAGTCAGAATAGCGTAATGTCATGACGATTTGGCACGATTGGATTTGACGTCCGCTGAAATATTGCCCAATTCTGGATAGAAGGATCCTAGAGACATGCCGCTGAGGAGATTTTGGAGGCAAAAGATGGATTTAAGAYATTTTTTTCGGCCTTCAAAGACGATTGGTGTGGAAGTTCTGTAACCAGCCTTGTAGGCTTTTATGACTGATGGCGATATTTTTATAAAAATAGCTCTAAATCCCTTCAAAATCACACACAGCAAAGTTAAATAACATCAGTAACACATGAGATTAAGGTAATGTATCTGGGTGATTTGAGAAAATGCGACTAGCCAATCAGCGCAAAGCTGACAAGCTTATGTTGTAAACATAACCCCCCGACGGGAGGAATTTGCACATCAAAACTCGACCCAGTGGAGTAGGCTGCCTGACATTTTATTCTATCCGAAAAATCAAAGCTAAAACGCAAAGAGAAATTGAAAATCTTTATAAAATAGCTTTTAYGAAATGTCAATCAAATATTTATCGTTATAGAAATAGAATTTTATCTTAAAAATTAAATAATAAATAATGTTTTCTTTAATACCAAGAGCCTCCCCTCCCTGATAAAARTAATTGGTCTGTGTTCTATGCTGGTTCTCCGTTGCATGCGAAGCAATGGACGACTTCACGAAGACTTCAGAAGGTCGTTGAAGCGAAGTTCAAGTCCAAAGTATCTTAGGAGGAACCATTGCAAATCCTTTTTCTTAGCTCTTGTTTCCTCTAAGCTTTGGGGTATCTACAACATCACTGAAAGAGCTAGAGCAGCTTAGCTCCACGTATTCCAATAAAGTTAAAGCGTTTGTTATTTTTGGTAGTGACAACAGTCGTAGTTCATCCTTTGTCGCATTTTCGGCAATAAGCCGCAAGCGTGCTCGACGATACAACAGGTTGACGTTATGTAACAGGYCGGTTACACATTTACTAGCTTTGACCTTACAACGAGAGCTAGTACGGTGACTGGGGTTTTTCACGTAATAGGGAACTTCAGATTTGGCAACGAGTACGAGATTGAGTACGAGTACGAGTTTTCAAACCAGCTTTTTGTTGTGTTGTCCATACCGGATTTCAATCCACTTCATGTTTTCTTGATAGCGACTGTTTATGTTGAAACGACTCAAAACAAAATTCCATCGTGAAAAAAGTTCGACTAAATTCCCTTCTGAAAAACAAGTGTGTATTTAAGGTGGAAAATGTTTGATATGAGCATTCAATTCTTAAAGGTTTAATTCTATAATCATTTTGTTTAGTTATGTAAATAGATTTAACACGACTTGTACTGTTTATCTGAGTGAATACATGCATCAGGAGTTTTGGAGAACAATGCATCCGCCATCTTGAAAAGTGAGACTCAAATCACTAAATTATAACTCCTAGAGGAATTAAAAGGTTCTAAGTTAATGTAAATCTAATATAATATACGTTATGATGATAGATTAGTTGACTAAGCAGCTATGAAATTTGTTAAGGCAAAACAGTGATTCAGGGCTCACTTTTCAAGATGGCGGACACATTGTTCTCTGAAACTCCTGATGCGTGTATAGAGAGCAGCGGGTTTTCCCTTTCCTTTATTTACACTTTCAAATATGACCRCTTAACAAAAATGCACGGGCTCACTGGCTTACAACCTTGGCGAATTCATATCCAGGCCTGGTCGCAAATCAATCACCCAGATTTTTATTAAAAAAAAAACTTTTGAATCAAATGCTTTGATTGRGTTGTCTGGGAATTTACCTGCCATTATTGTACTTATTAAGCATGCGCGACGCCGTTTTGGGCGATATTTCTGCTAATGATAAGCTCTTTTTAGGTCTAAAATGTAACCACTGCATTTGGAGGGGTGGAGAGAAATGTAAAGAATTACATTTCTTATTTAGGGAAGTTTACATTCTCCCATAGATTTTATATGGCTGAGTGACCGCCATTGTTGTGAAAAATGCGCATTCTGCTAATGAATAGATATTTTCAACACGAGAAGATACCAAGAGATCATGCAATATAGTCTCCTGGTATGAAAAGAGTGATAACAAAGAGGCTACCTATTGAAGAGACGGCTGGGGGAAGTTCACTGCAGACTAATCATAATCTTTCCAGTACTTGACATTGCAAATGAAATTGAAATTCCATTCAGTTTYTGTCCTTAGATTTAGTATTAGACCTGCATGTCTGACAATAAGTGAGGAGAATGTTCAAATATCTGGTGGGATCTTCGCTTTTCAGGTATACTTATTGTTTAAACGTTTAAATGTTTAACAAGATGTCAAATTATATATTACCTTTTATTTCAATCGATCCAACTGTTTTGGATAATGTTAGTTTTTCATTGGGCAAGTCAAAAGCAATCTAGGGTTGATGTGAGTAATAAAATCAAAATTGTTAAGCAATCAATAAAATTGACACAGCCTTACAAGAAATGCAGAACATACCTCAAGGGAGTCTTTTCCAAGTTGGTAGTAATCCCTTAGCACAAATTCAAAATCCGTGGGCTTGCAAGACATTTTTGTGAAGTTTCCTATCAATGCCTTTGTATTGTTCAGGTAAAAAAACAGTGGACAATAGGGACAGTATATTCCATTGCAGCAATATTGATAAGAGCCTAGCAAAAGAAAATTCAGCGTTATAATTATCATCCAATATCGTGCTTTTAAAAAACTGATTATAAACTAGCTGCACCCTGTTTACATTGTTTGATATAAGTTTTGACATTCTTGTGAAGGGCCAGGGCAGGTTTTGAATTTTGAAATCAAGACACTCTTTCAGGTTTCTGAGTTTGACCTCTTCCCTGTATATTCAAGGGTTTGGCTACTTTTTAAACGAGTTCATGCGGCCATTTGAAAGCAAATCCTTGTCCTTTATACACTTACCACTTATTACAACTGAATTAACGTGAACAGTTACTCTCTGACTGTTGTCTTTAAATAAAAGTGAGAACGTCCGATTCCCTAAAATGATGTAAAATTGCTATTATCTTAAAAGCTAGGCAATGTTGTTGCCAGATGATCAACAAATCAACTACCAACATCAGGGGGTGGAGATKCTACGGGGTACATGTCTTGTATTAATTATGCGTTAATTTCATTTAAATTCACCGAAAGACCAAAATGATCCAATGTTTTTTTTTTCCAAGATTGTAGTACCTGTTAGTGTGCGTTGAAGCAAAMTACCCGATATTGGTCTTGAAAGCGTTCCATCTTTTGCCATCCTTAATCCAACACTCAAATGCTCGTATCCTGTTTTTGTTACTGTATAGGCTTCTAGCCGATAGAATGCACATCGATGGAGAAWTACAGGTGAAGACATTTGACTTGAATCTCTGAAAAATAATCGGTCATATCTAATTTTAAATCATGACTAAGACTTTATATTAAAATCGCAGGCCACCCAGGATCAATTCTATCGACCATATGAGATCGCGCTGTCGAAGTACGAACCGTGGGTTCGAGCCTTGCCTGAAGTAAATCTTTTTCCTCCTTTTTTTACTGAAATATAGTCGTTTAWATCATATTCACTTATTCCTGAAACATATTTTTTTTCGAGCTGTTTTTTTTTCATCCGCCTTGTTCAGCATCAATAATAGGGTTAGTCCAAGAAAGATCGAAAATGTCATTTTAGGATAATTAATATAATAACACACAGATTATTTCAATTTTTAATCGCTCTTTCATTTTATCTACCATACCGATTCCAATTGTTTGGTCGAGCTGTTGTTTTTGGATCCAAGAGAACTTGCATCGTTTCCTCTCTGAATATAAAATCTGGTACTACCTTGTACATCAGCTCACAAGCATCTTTGCACGCCATGTAAAAGATATATTTTCCACTTGTAGAAATCTATAAACAATTTTTTATAAATCGTAAGTATCAGATTCTATTGCAAAGTCAGAATTTACATGGATATACCTTCAGAAATGACGATAAACGTTGTCCATAAAAATCAGCGATGTTCATTGAGGCTTCAAAGTTTCTCATCACGCTTGAGACTGCTGGTTTGCTTTTACTGATCAAAGATTTTAAACCCGTTATGCTCRGTTTMTGYATTTTATGAAACCAAATTTCTTGAAGAGCACCATGGTAATCGTCTGAAGGAAAAAAAAACAAAAWTKRAAAAAAAAATTATTTCTGTCRAGTAGCATGCATCCTTCGAAAACAAATCCACAGATTCATTATCAATTTCCGCATTTATGAATGATAATTTGCAATAGTCTTTTCTTTGCGGCTAGGAAATATTCCCATGCCGTACTTCTAAAACAAATCAAATGTTTTCATCATTTTCATAAGAGTTTTCCCATTCCAATCCAATACCAGAAAATAATAATAATCAGTGCCGGATCCAGGATTTTTCAAAGGGGGGTTCCTCTTTGTTTTCGCATTTTCCTAAAACGAACTTTTTTACTGTGCCTCTCGAACTGTAGCAAATGTGGTGTGAATGTATTGAATAAAAATTCATTGTACGATGCGTTTTCATTTTATTTCATTTATCATTTATTTTATTTTTATTTTTTTTTATGCTTGAGGGGGGTTCCTAGGAACCCATGGAACCCCCCCTGGATCCGCCACTGATAATCTTTCAGTTTCTCCTCATGCTTCGAATTCTATTGTTGCTATGCCATCTCATACTTTACAGAAGAGGGGAATTTGGTGTGTGCATGCTGTATTTGAAATATAGTTCTTACAATTACCGAGATCGTAGACTTGCATTTCGCATACTTGCAACGTCGAATTCTTCTCCATTCTTGTCAGTATGACATCAAGAGAGGAAAATACAATTGGGCAGTTAAAGYTTAAACGATTATCGATAGCAGAGCTAGAAACTKGTGAGCAGGCTGTAGCTTTCTTGTTTTTATCTTCAATTGTGACGCGCAATTTTAACTTCTCRTCACAGCAGGACTTTCTCAATACAAGGACCACTTGGTTCACGTACATCGGTTGTTTTAGTTGTACTTTTATGAATGGAAAATTTTCCTGTTGACAATAWATATTCCGTAAATSCAGGGTTAGGGTTAATCACAGCTTGTATATCGTAATTTCTTCGAAGTTCGTAATTAGAAATAWCCGTCTTTAAATTACGATTTATGACAAACTCCATTACAATTTTTGAGCGTGATTGTGGGCAAATAGCTACACAACTGTGACAAAGCAGAACTACAATGCAGACATATGTATAAGCTAAATCAGTGCTTTTACTTTTAAAAAACGTTCCATTTAAAACGTTCCATTTTTTTGCAATAACAGATTATTGTTTTGTCGCGGCGATGATACAGTACCTGTTTGCTAGTAAAACATGTTTCTATAATTCCGTCCACTGCAAAACCTTGACTCGACATATTTTCAACACTGGACGAATATGCTGTACCTTTGAATGCTTTGTTTACTATATAAAGGATTGATATATTGTTAAACAGGAGAATGCCCTTTAATATATTTAATTATATATAAATGTTGTTTCCAAAGTTCCATATCTTAGCTAAAGACACAACTATTTGTATTCCAACAAAGTATCAACAAAAAAATTGAATCAACAATTTGGCGAACCACTTTAATGTACGTAAAATTTGTAAACCAAACAGAAAATAAAGCAAGTACAAAAATGTCTGTTTTGTATGACTTTAAGAAATGTTTTCAGGGGCGAACCCAGGGGAGGTGCTTTAAATGCACCCCCCCTTTTGGACTACGTAATTTTTGTATATATCAAAACAACGTTTTTCCTGGTGTTTATACTCTTGCTGTAATTCAATCGAGAAAACGAGTAGMATGCACAACAAGTGTCTCCCTCTACGCTGCTTAACAATCTATTTGAGTAGTGCAATAAAAGTCAGTTTGATTCCTATCAAATTGTGCATAATTTTCTAACTCTAGACAATACGCAGCTAACAAAAATAATCATTTCCATCTGCTTTGCTTAGTTTTTAGCTTTATATTACTGACAAAATCACCCCCCCCTTATAAAATGCTGGATCCGCCCCTGAAAATTGTAGTTAATTCACAATGAAAATTCAATCCATAAATTAACAATTGCGCGAGCGTACTTGATACTCTCATCAATGACGCTCTTTGGCCAATTGCAGCGCAAATTGTATACCAATTATTTCAGAAATGACATTCAATGTAAAAAACGTACGTTCATATTTCTGGCACACTGCTCCTGTGTATTTGGAATTTCCATCGACGTTTTCCAAGTTAGAGTTGCCTGGACGAATTGCGACATAAGGGTGAGTTGTTTTCCATGTCTTCATTTGAAGAGCAGTCCCATCGGAACCATGCCATTCATAGTATTTTTTAAGTCCAATCCAAWRATATCYATATCGAAAATATCGATTGAGACCATTTCTTACATATTCCCTGTCTATCTTGGCCAGAGCTGCACCAATGGATTTGCAGTATTTTGAGGAGTATTTATAATTAGCAAAGCGACGCGATACGTAAAAACACTTGCCACGCACTCCAATAAAGCCAGCACGGCATGCAAACATTCCTATATAATAAAACGTATAAAGATATAATCAATATATTATCATCAATAGTTCTTTAATGGATACTGTATCCCTTCTCAAGGTCAGTTATTGCACGTCTTCGTGATAATGGGCTACACCGTGAGCTGACATAATGCATGTAAACGCATTTCACATTTTAACAACATCAATTAGATTGACTGTATGTCATTGTTTAGTCGATGTCAAAAAAACTCTCTCAACGTAACGCATAAAMTTTACATAAACTAATAATGATAGATTTACTAGCTTCGAGCTCACCTTTTTTCGCTTTGACTTTTCTTGAATTTACAATTTGACTGTGTGACAAAGCATAATCGTAGATTCTTAAATCAGATATTCTACCAGTAAAATATCCCTTAGTATCATTGGTAAATGATGCACCGACGCGCAATCCCTTGGTTGTTGCAAGTTCTTTTTGCTCTCCTACGCTCCGTGACACTGTGGTGTTACCAATCCACACTTTTGCTTTTCCTGTCATATAATCATAGGAAAAACCCACGGAATTCCAGATACCATTTTGAAGTCCAAAGATTTTTAGCGTTTCTGATTTGTATCTCTTAAATACAAATTTCGCTATGAGATGTCTGTGGGAAAGTGACATTTCTAAGCCGTCTTTGTAGCAAATTATTGTTCCAGAGGTGTTTTCTTCTTGAAAGATCCATAAGCTTATGGTAAACGAAAATTGTGTGTTCAGGTATCCTCGATTAAGAATGCTAACAAAACTTCCTGAAGAGCCATTTACGACAATGGAACCTTTCTTATCGTCGAACGGACCACGCCGAAATACCATGGATGTTATTTTTCCGGTAAGAAGATAACTGTAACGGTCGGAACTTGCCTCTTTAACACCGCTTTCTGCGCTCATTGGATAGACGGCCATTGGGCGTGGCTGACCTATTAGGAGGGCAAGCAACATGTTGAAACTACAACGCATCTCAGAACTATTAGAATTACATAATGTATCACGATGATGATCAGCTTAGTACGTACCATCTTCAATAACGCAAGCTGTTAGAGCTGTCAGTATAAAATCTGAAGAAAATTTTTATACGTTCTAACGATCCTGGCTGGCATCGTCGAAATAAAATTACAACTCGGACGACAGCTTTCAAACTTACATTTTATGTACAAAACAAAACAAAAATGAATATCATTGATCAGTTAATTTTAGCCTAACATGAGCTTAGTGAAGTTAGCTTACCAACTGTGTCTTCACAGAGAACGTTTCTCCTGTATTTGCAATYAGAAGGATACAAAAAACCTCTGGAGAAATATACACAATGTCTATGTTTGTATGAAGGTCCGCTATGATATTTCCAGAAATCAGAAAGAAGGACTTCCCCATCAAGCCATCGCCATGTTACTTGTACTGAATACCCTGAGAAGAATTTGTACTTCGGGAGATTTAGTTTCTGTAGCAGACCTGACATTGATTCTAGGTCGTTTGGCCTTTGGAAAGATACCAATCTGCTATTGACTTCCATGCAGCGTTTTCCATGTTGATGCCATCCATTAATGCGATCATTAATGATTATTAGTAAGCATGAATTACCTACTCGATACCAGCCTTGATCACATGCCGATGAATCTAGGATACATTTGACAACAGAATATATACTTATGATTCTTTAAATTATATCATAATTGCTAGTCATATCWCACAATATCAGCAAAATAGTTTTAAACACGGCTCTAGAACAATCAGAAATCGAGTAAATATACAATTCTGGTCTAATAGCTTTTTGTAAATGTGATGTATCAAGCAATCATTTCAAGATCATGACAAGACAACATGCATATACAGCTATTCAAATAGCGTTGAATGATGTACTAAATGGAATATTGTAAATAGCATGTTACCTACCATTTGTTTCAAGTTTAGTAGAGTTGTGCACTGCTATCTTTTCAAGTTTCCAGTTACAGCATCTGCTGTTAGACGTAATGTCCTGATGGATCTCGTATCTGTCAGCAGATTGCTGCGTAAACATGTAAATGTTCTTTTTATTGGCATTGACATCCTCATGAAAGCAGTCCAATGGGAAGTTGATATGGTCAATAGATAAAGTGGTCGATATGANCATTCAATGTAAAAAACGTACGTTCATATTTCTGGCACACTGCTCCTGTGTATTTGGAATTTCCATCGACGTTTTCCAAGTTAGAGTTGCCTGGACGAATTGCGACATAAGGGTGAGTTGTTTTCCATGTCTTCATTTGAAGAGCAGTCCCATCGGAACCATGCCATTCATAGTATTTTTTAAGTCCAATCCAATAATATCCATATCGAAAATATCGATTGAGACCATTTCTTACATATTCCCTGTCTATCTTGGCCAGAGCTGCACCAATGGATTTGCAGTATTTTGAGGAGTATTTATAATTAGCAAAGCGACGCGATACGTAAAAACACTTGCCACGCACTCCAATAAAGCCAGCACGGCATGCAAACATTCCTATATAATAAAACGTATAAAGATATAATCAATATATTATCATCAATAGTTCTTTAATGGATACTGTATCCCTTCTCAAGGTCAGTTATTGCACGTCTTCGTGATAATGGGCTACACCGTGAGCTGACATAATGCATGTAAACGCATTTCACATTTTAACAACATCAATTAGATTGACTGTATGTCATTGTTTAGTCGATGTCAAAAAAACTCTCTCAACGTAACGCATAAAMTTTACATAAACTAATAATGATAGATTTACTAGCTTCGAGCTCACCTTTTTTCGCTTTGACTTTTCTTGAATTTACAATTTGACTGTGTGACAAAGCATAATCGTAGATTCTTAAATCAGATATTCTACCAGTAAAATATCCCTTAGTATCATTGGTAAATGATGCACCGACGCGCAATCCCTTGGTTGTTGCAAGTTCTTTTTGCTCTCCTACGCTCCGTGACACTGTGGTGTTACCAATCCACACTTTTGCTTTTCCTGTCATATAATCATAGGAAAAACCCACGGAATTCCAGATACCATTTTGAAGTCCAAAGATTTTTAGCGTTTCTGATTTGTATCTCTTAAATACAAATTTCGCTATGAGATGTCTGTGGGAAAGTGACATTTCTAAGCCGTCTTTGTAGCAAATTATTGTTCCAGAGGTGTTTTCTTCTTGAAAGATCCATAAGCTTATGGTAAACGAAAATTGTGTGTTCAGGTATCCTCGATTAAGAATGCTAACAAAACTTCCTGAAGAGCCATTTACGACAATGGAACCTTTCTTATCGTCGAACGGACCACGCCGAAATACCATGGATGTTATTTTTCCGGTAAGAAGATAACTGTAACGGTCGGAACTTGCCTCTTTAACACCGCTTTCTGCGCTCATTGGATAGACGGCCATTGGGCGTGGCTGACCTATTAGGAGGGCAAGCAACATGTTGAAACTACAACGCATCTCAGAACTATTAGAATTACATAATGTATCACGATGATGATCAGCTTAGTACGTACCATCTTCAATAACGCAAGCTGTTAGAGCTGTCAGTATAAAATCTGAAGAAAATTTTTATACGTTCTAACGATCCTGGCTGGCATCGTCGAAATAAAATTACAACTCGGACGACAGCTTTCAAACTTACATTTTATGTACAAAACAAAACAAAAATGAATATCATTGATCAGTTAATTTTAGCCTAACATGAGCTTAGTGAAGTTAGCTTACCAACTGTGTCTTCACAGAGAACGTTTCTCCTGTATTTGCAATYAGAAGGATACAAAAAACCTCTGGAGAAATATACACAATGTCTATGTTTGTATGAAGGTCCGCTATGATATTTCCAGAAATCAGAAAGAAGGACTTCCCCATCAAGCCATCGCCATGTTACTTGTACTGAATACCCTGAGAAGAATTTGTACTTCGGGAGATTTAGTTTCTGTAGCAGACCTGACATTGATTCTAGGTCGTTTGGCCTTTGGAAAGATACCAATCTGCTATTGACTTCCATGCAGCGTTTTCCATGTTGATGCCATCCATTAATGCGATCATTAATGATTATTAGTAAGCATGAATTACCTACTCGATACCAGCCTTGATCACATGCCGATGAATCTAGGATACATTTGACAACAGAATATATACTTATGATTCTTTAAATTATATCATAATTGCTAGTCATATCTCACAATATCAGCAAAATAGTTTTAAACACGGCTCTAGAACAATCAGAAATCGAGTAAATATACAATTCTGGTCTAATAGCTTTTTGTAAATGTGATGTATCAAGCAATCATTTCAAGATCATGACAAGACAACATGCATATACAGCTATTCAAATAGCGTTGAATGATGTACTAAATGGAATATTGTAAATAGCATGTTACCTACCATTTGTTTCAAGTTTAGTAGAGTTGTGCACTGCTATCTTTTCAAGTTTCCAGTTACAGCATCTGCTGTTAGACGTAATGTCCTGATGGATCTCGTATCTGTCAGCAGATTGCTGCGTAAACATGTAAATGTTCTTTTTATTGGCATTGACATCCTCATGAAAGCAGTCCAATGGGAAGTTGATATGGTCAATAGATAAAGTGGTCGATATGACATTGTGACTGGATGTTCCTCGGTTGTATAAACAGATTAGCTTTCCGCTTTGGTTGGCCATTGATCTTTTAATTTGAAACTTTAATATCTTGAAGAAGCCATTAACGTTTAAAGGCAGGTCGTGTTTTAAAATGCTGTATGAATGCCCATTTGTAGATAGCGAATATGATAGCATCTCTAGAATGAAAGTTTATGAAAATACATTATATTTATTAATGGTTAATATACCAGAAATCGTGTTTTTCAAGGTTTTTTATTATTATTCATCTTTGCACTGCTCATAGGAGTTTATGATCTCAAAAATCTGATACTTCAAAAGGAACCTCAAACCACAAAAATAATGATAATAATAATAATAACAAAATGGACTACAAAAACTTCGTCCTCTTTTATAAAGAAGTCATCTGGGAACACTGAAAAGGTCCAGAACTTCTCATATGAACGGATAATTAATGCACTATATACGTAAGCTCGCATGAAATCAAGCAATTTTAAAAATATTCCAAAACGAATATTAAGGCATTTAATTAACCCTATTCAGACTGGGGGGGGGGGGGGGGGGGGGTTTGAGCCCCCTCGCGTAAAAAGCCAATAACTTTCGAACCAAGACAGCTACATCTCTGAAACTTTCGTAATTTTCCTAAAATTTATCTGGGCAGATTTTAATGTACCTTATTTTTGTTGATAACGTCATCCATGTCGCCATGGCAAACAGTTTTTAACACATAGGTTTTCAAAAATGTAAAATATGCTTAATTTTTCATTTGCAAATCTTATTTCTTGTTTTATTATGCATCTTTTACCTATTTGAGCCGACAATTGGAAGTATTAAATAAAGCGACGAAGATAAAAGACTCTGTGTTTACAGCCTGTCATGTGACTATCGAAGTGAGGCCGGCTTGCTGCTGATGATCAATTTCTTCATAATTTTGATGCTGAGTTCACTGCTTTTTTATTATTTTTAATTCCAGGGAGTATTTTTTGCTTTACCCTTTTGATAGTATTAATATAACTTTATTAAGATTCAATACAGCCAAATTCTTAGATTACAACACTCAAACTGTTGTCACTTCATCGTTTACAATCAAGCAGAACCCCGAGTTCACGCAGCCTTGCGTCTAGTTTACAGTAAAAACCTTACGACAATGAAGAACCTACATTTTTGGGAAATAGATTAAACAGATTCTTATAAAAATTTACCTGTTTTCAATTTTAGGCTATATATTTTCTTGTTTATAGAGGGTATACAAAAAAMAAATGTCAGGCTAACAGGTTCTTAAGTTTTAGTTTCTTAGTTGCGGGTTTTTACTGTATATCATTTATCTTTTAAATTCTGGAATTAGCCAATGCCAAACATTTGCTTTAATGCAATGGCCCTGATCTACACAAAAATATTTGAAAAGTGTGGGTCACGTGGCCAGCATCAATACTTTAAAATTAAGTCAATGTATGATCACGATTGATTAAAGTATATTTTATTGATACAATGCTTCTATAGGATTCCATAAAAATATAAACAATACGCGCGGAACATGGCTGACGTCTCAAACTCTTCTTGATACAAAAAGGAATAAAGCTCCTCATTGTATATCCGTACACAGGGATCCTGATGATACATATCACATTCATGGCTGTTGTAAAAACTGACAGTTTTTTTTTAATAATATATAAATTATTCTTGGTTTCTGTTCGGTCTGATCATATAAAATATAATATATACCTGTTTTGTTACACTTTCCTCGTCTCAGTGAAATGTCATCAAATGCTATGTCCCCTGCATGATCGTACTTGTTTCTTGTTACTTCAATTACAAACTATGAAAACAAAAGGTTCACATAAATTGCATTATTGGACTAGAGTTTTCAAAATRGCGGAATGAAGCAAAGCAAACCCAATTTAATATTTACACGTTTATCGTGATATACATTATTTCATATATGATCGAAGCGTTGATATTCTGACGCATGCATGTTATTCACACAAGAAGCAGTTTTCGAAGTCTTCGAAATTCAATCTTTCCGAAGGCCACCCCAAAAACTCAAATGAAAAGCAAATACTGATACTTAGCTTAATGTACGGTAATACAAGCATCAACATCATTTAACTTCTCTCGCAAAATTGTTGTTCGTGGTACTACTKACAAACTAAATTGTCTCGAATCAAAAATAATTTGTTGCAATTTGAGCAATTCCTTATTTCTGATTGGCCAATGCAGTCAGCTGATTGTCGCTCGACTTCATTTTAATGCGAGACAAGTTGGATTGTTATTGTAATAAGTATCAACATCCCTTTCTAACTTGCTTTGGACGATTTTGTGTTCAACAGTCTTTCTCTAAATCGTTTTAATTTCATCTCAAAGCATTGTGGGACGTTGATTTTTGCCAACAATGCCTTTCAAAGACCAAGGGTTAGGCAGGGCAGGGGACTGCCGTAGTTTTCTAGTGTTTCTGGTCCGTCAATCGAAACTCAAGAAATTTTCCGATGAACGGGATTGCGATAATTATCATATTTATCATAAAAAAGCAAAACCATCCATACTAAAGTTACAGTAGTTCGATCATCATCATAATTTCTTTCAAGTGATATGAGGTAGCTTTTTTAGGACGGCTTTATAATCCATGGCGACTGGATATTAAATATCGTTATCATCATTATAGGTTAATTTCCTTCACTACAACATATATAAATGAGGTTGATTTACGCAAACACTCGTAATTTCAAAGGAAAAATGAAGAGGAGACAAAAGTCTTGGTGAGACTCGTTGACGGAGAAGTTCTGTGATCACGTCCCGAATTTTGATACAGCCAAATAAGCTATTAGCCTTCTGGTTGTCAGAAAACGAAAAACAGCAGGAATGATGTTGCTTTTTTGAAACCTCAGTACTAATTCAATACCTTACAATATCAAAAAAATACCTGATAAGGCAATATGCTGTTAAATTGAACCTCAATGGTTTGCCATTCATCTTTATTTCTATATCTAGCCAATAGTGGATTTTGTCGACGTGTTGTTCTTGCATAGATGATGACTCCACCTATTGTGTTGTTATTGGTTCCGTAGCTATAATACAAAAACTGCATACATTGGCTTCCATTCATCCAGATGCTTAAAATGCGAGCTTTTTGACCAGCCACTGTTCCCTTCACATTAGCAGAGAGATATGATGATCCTGTGGGGCGTAGAACGTATTAATAACGGGGCTTTGACACTTGATTTTGCTAATAACAGGGGAGCACGTTTTAATCTCTCCATCACGAGGACAAAATATTCTACTCGTTCAGTTGGAAGACATGTCACAGCTGGAACTGCGTTGTTGTTGTTGTTGTTTATTTTATTTTTTTGTTTTTGTTCAGACTAACTGGACACTGCTGTACATCACGAATTTATAAGTTTTCAGAACATTTTCAGAGAAAGCAGTGAAATGGTTCTGTGTCTATTCGTTTCGCTGCGCTCGTGGGTCCACTTCAGTTTTGAACATTTTGAACTTCAAGAGTGTGTCAGTAAGAAGGCATACAACTCAAAATCATGCGCAATTTGCTAAATATAGGTGTGAAGAAGACGATAATCTGTAAATTCCTCTGAATATAATGAATAATAAATAACAGGAAGAATATACTGGAGTACTCACTGTTGTACTTGGACCATGCATGGCTGTTGGAAACTCGTACCAAATCAAAGTCGTCTTTCCTTTCATTGCTCCACATACACATATTTTCCTCAAAATCACAGTTAGCTACGAGACATAATTCACACACATAGAAAGCA